TTCTTTTTTTGGTACTGGGAATCAGACTCATTACCTTGCACTTGCTAGGCAGGCACTATGCCCCTGGGCTATATCCCCAGCTTTTTTCAGCATTTATTGAGATGATTATATGACTTTTGTCCTAGCTTCTTTTTATGTGATGTATTACATTTATTGATTTGTTTATGTTGAACCAACCTTGCATTCCTGGGATGAGACATGTATGGTCATGGTGTATGATCTTTTTGATGATTTGTTGCATTGTGTTTGCCAGTATTGTGTTGAGGACTTCACATCTATGTTCATTAGAGATGCTACCCTTTAGTTCCCTCTTTTGGTTGGATCCTTGTCTGCTTTTGGAATCGGCCTGATAACTAACTTCCAGGAATGACTTTGGGAGTACTCCTTCCCTTTTGATTTCATTAAAAAGTTTGAGGAATATTGAAGTTGTATCTTCCCAAAGTTCTTGTAGAATTCAGCAGTGAATCCATCATGTCCTGGGTTTTTCTTAGTCGCTAGTTTTTTTTTTTTTAATTACTTTTTCAATTTAATTACCTGTTTTTACATTATTCAGGATTTTTAAGTCGTCTTGGTTTAGTTTTGGTAATTCATATATATCTAAGAATCTCCATGTCTCTGAGTTCTCCAGTTTATTGGAGTGCAGGTTTGTGAAGTATAGTAGTTGCTAACAGTCTCCTGGATTTCAGCAGAGTGCAAGTGATGTCACCTTTTTTTATTTCTAATCACAGTGATTTGTGACTTGTCTTTTTTTCTGGTTGGCTAAGAGTTTCTTCATTTTATTTATTCTTTCAAAGAATCAGCTCTTTGATTCATTGATTCTTTGTAATTTTTTTCCTTTTTTAGTCATTATTTCATTGATTTTCTGCTCTGATCTTCATAATTTCTTTTTTTGTACTATTTCTGGATTTAGATTGTTCTTGTTTTTCTGGGACCTTGAAGTGCATCATTAAGTTATTTATTTGGGCTCCCTCTGTTTTTCTGATGTGGGCATTCACAGCAACTTCCCTCTTAGGACAGCTTTTATTGTGTCCCATAAATTCTGATATGTTGTATTGGTACTGACATTTAGTTCTAGGAACTTTTCATATGTCATCTTAATTTTTTCTACGACTCACTGATAATTCAAGAATGCTTTCGTTTCCGTCCATTTGCATAAGTTCTGTGGTTTCTCTTGCCACTGATTTCTAGTTTCATTGCACTATTATCTGGTAATATGCACAGAAAATTTTGATTCTTTTGCATTTATGTAAGCATGCTTTGTTGCCTAGCACATGGTCTATTTTGGAGAAAGTTCCATATGCTGTTGAATGTGTATTCTGTTGTTGGGTGGAACATTATATATCTATGAAGTCCATCTGTTCAAAGGTTTGGTTCAACTCTGATACTTCTTTGTTGTTTGTTTAGTTGGTCTGTTTATGATAGTTGGAGATTGAGGTCCCCCACTGTAATTGTGTTGATGTTTATCTGATTGTTTATGTCCCATAGTGTTTGTTCTATGAAGTTAGGTACACCATTGTTTGGTGCATATATATTTATAATTGTTATTTTTCTTATTGAATAGTTCCTTAACCAACGTGTAGTGTCCTTTTTTGTCTTTTCTGATCAGTTTTGGCTTGAAATCCAATTTATCTAAAAGTAGAATAACTACTCCTTGTTTTTAGGTTTCCATTGCATGTAATATTGTTTCCACCCTTTGATTTTTAGTCTATGAATTTCTTTTTGGGTTAAATGTATTTCTTGTATATAACATATCATTAGATTTTGTTTCTTGGTCCATAC